GGAGAACAAAGCTGTTCAAACAGTTTAAAGATATTCAGCTAGCTACCTGTTTCTAGCAAACTACTGTAGAACAAAATGAAACAACCTCCTTGCTGAGGGGATTCTTTACTTTGTGAAAAGCTCTAGTCATTTATTGAAGTTTCGGCTGGTATATTGGTATTTATGACTGAAACTTGTCCCTGATCCGTTGATTGTTCAAACGTATTCAAAGATAACATTGAGAATATATGCCAGTGAATGGATACTGTTCTGATATAAAAAATGACTTTGTTTACTCTCTGCACTCTTGAGCAATCAAATCTAGCTCAGGTAGCCGCAGCAACGCTGTTTTTCAATATACGACAAACTCGTTTAGTCCGGAAATAGTTAAACTCTAGGCACATAACGGGTTATTTTAGCACCAGCACCTGTGGCAGTCGTGAGCCAAAAGCACGGGGATAGTAGGAGAGAAACCGCATATGAAAAGTAGGTTATTCGCCTTTCCCACAGCAAGAAGGCACATAGTGTTCAAACCATGATATGCAACATTCATTTGCTAATCAGTAAAATCGCTTTTCTCTTAAGACTTATTCAGGACATTATAAAAATCTTTCGAGCGTTAATTAGTGATATTGCAGGTTGAACAGGGTCCATCTATCAGGCCTAAGCGTATTGTAAAGCATATTAATCTCATCATGCGAAAGGACTGATATGGTATCATACAGTTTATTGTTAACCAGTAACAGTCATTCAGTATTTAATTTTAGAGACGAACACTCGACAGAAAATGACAAATCAAATCATATAATACATAAAAATGTGGCTTTATAAACAGCCTATCCGAATTACGGCATAAGAATTATATGTATAACTCCGCCGTTGCCGGTCTCAAGGCTGAATGAAAATATGAGGCTTGGGGGTCGTGGCGAGGACTTTCGTTAAAGTTTGCCACCTGCCCTCATAATATTATCGTTATCAAACGTATTGCTGGATTGGTCATTACAATTGTTGATACAATAAGTAAAAGTTTGGATGAAAAAATGAAACTTTCAAATACCTTCCAACGGCCTGCCCATACTTGACCATGCCGAATAATATGACGCCGGTGTAAGCGTAAAACAGTATTAGCAAGCACATGGCCATGATGATGAAGAAGCTGCGAAACATGGACATCACGACAGTCAGCATGAGCATTTTTAGGGTAGACTATGAATATGAAATAGTTGGTTCATGAAACAATGCTAATGCTTCATTTACATGTCTTCCAACGATAGTGAAGAACCTTAGCAACACAATGCTGTATCCAAACATGTACGTAAAGTCACGAACATTTTTTTCCTCTGTCGGAAGCTGAAAAAAATTAAGGCTGTGAATGCTGACTCGTTGAAGACCATACACGAATGAAGTTACCGCAACGAAGAAGTGCAACACACACCAAACAATGCCGAGCAGTGTGATTATGAGATCAACTTTGTTTCGGCGACTTTGCCAAAAGCGGCAGTAAGTGAATGCGACTATTTTGCAAATGATCTGAAAAAATTTAGCAAAAGTTTATTAAAAGCATAAAATCTTTTTTTTTCACCTCAATAACAAAGATGAGGTTGAAAATGGCTGATAAAGCCACCAGCGCTTTCAGCGTTTCTTTTGTGTCTGACTGTTCTTCTTCGACGCTCCACTACAAGCACATAATGGAGCATGTTTTTCCTTAAGCATTTTTTGATAAGGTACCGGAATGAACAGCAGCGTCGAGTTCAGCAGAACACACACCGTAAAAAACCGGTTGAAATATACGGACATCGTCAAATCGTACAGAAATGTACGAAGTTTCGCGGACTCGGCTAAAGTACACACGTTGTATTAAGCGTAAACCAGTTGATTACCACAAACGGGGTTTTCGAGGAATATTTAACGGTTGTGCCATCTTCAGACGGTTTTTCAAATCATTCCATCTTCGCTGATCGACGGTCAGTAAAGCAGTACCCTATAATTCATAAATAATTATGAATGCGACAAACTGTGACGAACTGTTGTCAAATCAGTCCTATGTATAGAATAAGGTTGACACTGTTAGCTTATGAACCTAATAATGGCATACCACCGCGGTACGTCAGCAAAAGACCAGATTACTTTTTTGATAATGGTTGCGGCGTTCGACAGGGCCACCTCCTCTCCTCATGTTCTATTCAACCTTATAATTCATTTGATCACATGAACAGCACTGAGGGATTTTGCTGCTGGAGTGAAATCCGTCCTGGTAACTACATCCCTGATGTAGATCTTAGTGCCAAACTATCCTAATATAATTCCATTCTCCCAACGGATCATGGAACACGAGAAAAAACATCGCCATGGGTGCCACTCCCTTTGAAAAAGTCACAGGTTTCAATGCCGTGGGTTTTCCATCTTTCTAATTGGACAGTCCTGAAGATGAAATCATGACTCAGATGGAAGTGGCTCGGAAGTCTTTCCTTCGGCTTTGCAATCCCGCTGTGAAAACGATAGGAGATCATCCTGAAGTCAAAGTACCGTATTCTGGAGGCCACGATCCCCCGCAAAGCTCCTTTTAAATGTGAGAGATGGGTCGTCCTAGGATTCGAAAACATGTGGAAACTACCGACTATTGATATTTACGAATCATCTCGCGAAAACGATTTATTGACCGTATATCCAACGCGATAATCTAAGCACGTTAAGAACTTTGTGGGCACTGTTAGAGCTAACGTTAAAGTTTTCTGTGCGCCGTAATTGTACAGGTACAGACAAAGGAAGAATGGTTGGCTGAATTTTGGGATGGACGTTAGGCACGTGACCAATAACGGTAGAGCGCAGCGATCCAGGACGTCACTGGAGAGAGCTAAGCCTGTGATCATGATGATCGTATGAACAGCAGTATAGAATAAGGTTTATTACGCAAATCCTAAACCTACAATCCATCCATGTCCAAAGCCGGCATTTATGGTTTATGGTTTTAGGAGCGCCAATTTTAAAAGTTTTCTACGCGTGATCCTTTTTAGTAGTTGATCAGGCATGCTTTATAAACTGGATTCGACTTGTCAGTGTGCCCGCTACTGGTTTAGAGGAGAGCTAGTATATAAATGACCTCAGAAAATACTAAATAGTAGTTCAGTAGGTCGGGTCGTTTATAACGTCTACAGATCGGGCATCTGACCTGCAGTACATAGGTGTTTTCAGAGAAACTCTCTGTTGGAGTATTATGTGAGGGTTGAAGGATGTGTCTTGACTGCTCCATGTTTACTAGCAGTTCATTTGAATAGATCTGCTCTGCTTATTAATACGATTCAGAGCGCAATTGATTTTATGACTTAGGATCTGAACTGCAGGGTCGGGGTCGCGGAGGAACATCGTCCTCAAGGTCAGCGATAAATGACAACATCCGGTGAACTACTTCGGACATATTTTGAGTAATGCTTCATGGTCGCAGTTAGAAGGGCAACGACAGGTTTCTTATAAGCATCTACGTACCTGTGCAATAATCATACTTATAAGTACTGAGGCAAAACTCGACTGGCTTGATTAGACTGAATTATTGCATGGGAAAAAAATTTTGAATTTTTTTAGTAGGGATATTCTAAGTATTGACTTTGATTCAGATCAGTTTTTGGCTAGGGAAGCACTTCGAAATAAGCCATGAAGCAACTTAAGCCATATTCGGTTAATTATGCAATACGCTGGCTAGCTGCTAGAACTCTGTTTGTAAAACAAGCGTATCCACCGTCTTTGTTAGAAGCAGCATCGACAAAATACATCACTAACATGTTCATGTAATAAAGTAGCGCAGGCCTCCAAATCGGACACTGCTTCCACATCTCATGGAGCAGATAATGAGTAAATTAACACATTGTATTCCTGGATAAAAGAATGGAGTGATTTATATTTAGCCCAAAGGCATTCCCATGAATCCCCTATCGACTGACTAATGAATCAACGAAAACCGAGGTTTACGGACATTTAAATGATTTTAATGAATTTGTATAGATAAGAATAGATTCAATACAAATCCAAATTAATTGGGTGCAGCTATATTAGCTGTCCCAGAAAAGCATGACGAAATCTGCAAAATTAGACATTCACTCAATAAACAGAGAATCATAGCTGATGGGCTAAACGAACAGAAAATCCGTACACTGTTGAATGGAGACAACATGAGATATTTCAATCTATTCAGGAAAAAGATC